TAGCTGAAAATATTGGAGTCAAACCCTATGGTCTTGAGTCAGCCACAGCAACTCACGTAGAATGTTGTCTGAATCAAGATCACAGGAGCTGACTTACAGATGAGCAGTCCCGAGCCATGGTCTCTGAAATCACAGTACCAGTCTGCACATGGGCTGTATTCTCCTCAGGGGTTACCACTGCAATTCCATGTCAGTACATTTGTCCAGGATGAAATCTGAGAGCTGGCTGATAATGGTATCTGAAGGCAAAAAAATGAGCAATGCTGCTGCAGATGAAAGGGTTAATGTGCAATCAATTCAGCAGGAAATGCAATAGTCTGTTTAAAGACTATTAACTGATGCTGTTCTTAAACTAGCACCATCCTGACACTGGTGTTGAATATTCACTTTGAAAGGTCTGGAGGAGCAAAAATTACAAAGTAAATCATTCAGCCTTTAATATGTAGAGGTTTACCTTTGTTGTAATTTTTGGCAGTAATGAGGGAAAATACTTTCTAAAAGTACTGCTGATTTTCAGCTCAACGCTTCCTTGAATATGTTGACTTAAAGACAGAAAGGCCAATGTTTATGTCCAATTTTAAATAATTATAATAATAATAATAAGCAGCGATTGGAAATTTGATTATTCCAAAATTAGATCTAAGATAGGCTATCAGTAACAGGAAGAAGTACAAGTAGAGCCAATTTTCATTTAACCGTTAATTACAGAGTGCAAGCTGAATAAATATTCTTTTCATGCAATGCCATTCTCACTACCTTACAAAATATGAAGCCATTTCAGGGACTAAAACTGGAAAATTAAATGCTAGTGGCATACTGTATTTCCAAGTACAAAGGCTTACTGTACTGCAGAGTTAGCCAGAGCTTGAGGCCTCAACAAGGTAATAATAAAATTCACTATAATGTCAGTCCAGAGATTTTAATTTTTAAAAAAATCTCAGTTCTACAGTTTCAATTTTACCAAAATAACTGATGATAAGGAAAAAACTGTGCCTTACCATACTTTACTGACCTCCGCAGTGAAATACATGTTTAGACGTTTGAATTTGCTCCATTTACCAAGGCAGCTATCTGGAATGACTCAAAGGTTGAAGTTGTTTGTACAAGTTATTATTCATTTTTAAGATCTGCCTTTTAGGAAATTTAAGTTTTTTCTGCATGTAACACTAATGAGAAAAATCCATCACAAAATAGATTGGTAACAGCAGAAGAGATATGTTGGTCTGTTAACCAGTAGTATTTGAGTAGTAAATATCAGCACTAACAAAGAAAAAAACTTGAGGCAATTTTACAAGAACTGCACCATTTGCCAGCTCAGTGCTAGCAGCTCTCTAACTGGAGCCAGAACATTTCAGATCATCACGTGTAGCCTGACAAGCAACGCATTCTGCATGGTAAGTACTGCAGGGTTGTGGAAGGAGGGCAGGAAAAAAAATGAGAATTCACTTGATTAAAAGCCCTGTTCTTTAAATGAATATGCCTCAATTCTTCATGCTTCTCTGGATGGTGTCTGGTTTTTCTTCGCTACCTTGAAATCTCGCATGCACTAGCACAACCTAGCGCTTGAGTGCTGCAATAACACGCTGAGTGTGCAAAGTCAGCTCATCGCACTACCTCCCTCCATCAATATTTTAGATAGAGCTGCAGATCCTGCTTATATTTAAAGCCCTGAAGTCGTTGTATTAGAAAAGAAGCTGCTGAACCTAATTAACAGTATAAACACACTGCTTAATTGTTTCCTCTTTGATTAAAGGCAGAGTCATAACAAGGAATTTAAACTGCAGAGGAATCAGTCTAAAATGACCAGGTGCTTCTGTCCAGTTGTGCTTTTTAACCAGATCCTCTGTTCTTTTTGCAACGAGAAAACAGAAAACGCTGCTGTGTCCTCACTGAGGACAGACACCAACTAACGTACATCTTAAATCAAATCTTCAGAAAACCCTCCCCAGCAGAGACAGCATATGACCAGCTAAGAGATTAAGGGAGAGAGCACATTTTGAATGCCTTACCCAGAAAGGAAGTAGCAGACAGACTCTGGAGTTCATTACTCTTTGTGGGAGGAAAGTTCATTACAGCAAAAATCACATAAGAAAGGTCCTGGAGAGCAAACATTGCAGGTTCTTTCCTCTCAAAGGGGAAGAAAGCTCTCTACCAGATAACTGGAACAAAATCACTAGTGAAGTATTTTATACAAATACCACCACCATCCCACAGAATGGAAATGATTAAAGCCTTTAGTTTTTCATTTATTTAACAACAAAGCAGTGCTGAAATGATCTTGGTTATGAACCAAAGGGTAGTTCAAAATTTCCTTGGAGTCATTACTATTTTAAGTAGTTTAACATGAAGTGCATTATATAGTAATTGCACACCATATGCTTTCTGTGTTTTGGTGCAAAGAGGCTGACAGATGGGCTCTGATACTTCTAGCTTGAAGTGTCTGAAAGGAAAAGATTAGAAGAAGAAATGCCAAGATCACACTAAACAATTCTGTTCCTTATATCGTAAAGTACATGGCAAATACAGAGCTGGCAAGTACTTTACCAGGTGACAAAGATATTAGCAAAGTAAAAATTGTACAGGATGCTCAAGAAACTAAGGTATCAAAGTCCAGTGTGAGTTCTGGCAAGACATAAATGTGGTAAATTTCTAATCTAAACTAGTGGTTGGCTCTCCACTCTCATCCTTCTGCCATTATGCAGAAGGAAATAACTTGGGAATAATTCTCTTGCTTTCTTAAGACTCATTCAGAGAAAATGGACAAAGAGAATGATACCTAAAACCAAAGGTACCGCCTAGCATCCATAAAGAAATAAAATAGTCAAAAAGCTCATTTGAGGCTTGTAACTATTTCAACCTTTGCAGCAGTGCTATGTTCAAGCTCACAGAACAAGCAGGAGTAGGAAGGTGAGCATTTGGGTAGGTCTTCTACAGAACAGGTAGGTGCCATGGGAGACAGAGAGATTCTGTAGCTACAATTTTCTGTGTTACGGCCCAACATCGTTTAGTACTTCACTCTTGGAGACCCCATACAGGGGAGCAGATGCAGTCAAGATATCTAACACGGTTAACAGAACTCCCCAGGCAGTTTGTACGAGTTAACCCTGAGGTCCTGGTCAAATTCTACCTGAAAGAAATTTAGAAATTACCTTTAAAACAATAAGAACTCTTCATTTTTTAATGGGATTCTTATACCTAACTCATTCAATTATTTCTGAAAAATCCCATTCTGCCTTTTTAACTGCTGCTGGCTTTTTGTTGTGATACAGTATTCTTCTGGAGCCTTCCTAAACTGTTGCCCTGTACAGACTGAACAAACTTACTTCACTTCAAACAGGATGACTATTTCACATTACTGGAAATGAAGGATGCTCACTACTTAAGAAATAGTTTGCTGACAATTTTAAGATACTCTTTCATTTCCATACTGTCAGCTCTTCACAGCAAACAGAGTATTTTCTCCATCCTTCAATACCTCCATGTCAGAAAATAATTAAGATACCTTGTCCACTACACAGATTAGTATCCTGCTATATAAAATGAGCTATGGGAGGACTAAACACTGACATACTGACCTGGCAAATTTAGTTCTACAAAAGAAAGCACTACAAGCCAAGTTACAATACCCATGACAAAGCTTCCAAGCACCCCTGTGTCTGCAATGACAAATACTGTGATCCGAGTTGCTGATATACTGGAAGTGAGCATAATTGTTTGTAGAGAGGGGGCACTGGAAGTCTACGAAATAGCTGACAATCTGCTTTCTACTCCACTTACTATACTTTGGACAGGGTAAAAACTTGCCTTGTAGCACTGCACTCTCCAGATGTTCTCACTTTGCATTTCTTTTCGTGACAAAACCAAATAATTAGTAAGAGTCTCCTTCCCAGAGCATGAACTTCTTGGGAGTCTTTCCAACAGGGAAGAAAAATGCAGTTGATGCCTATACCACATAAACTACTCCTTCATGGTGAACGAGTCATTTAGAAGCAACTAAATCTTTGTTCTTTCTGCTTTAAAATTCAGATGACTGATTAGAGATATCCAAGCAAATAGACAACCGATTCAATTTCTTTTGGGTCTGACTATTTACAACAGGTTTCACTCACACTCTGTAGAGAGGTTTGAGAGGATTATGCATTTCAAGCACTGAGAACAGGCATTCACATCACTGCCAAAGAGAAAAAAATGCCCTTTGAATCTTCCTGTAATCGTGAAGGAAATATTTTCTATGCAGGGTGTCACAAAACAAGAAGAATAAACTGTATTTTTCAGCTTTACTAGAAACTGCAGGGAACAGGAGAAGGTTGACTGACACAATGTTTAGGTAACCAAAACGCACATCTCAAATCCTAGTGGACATAAGTATCAGTGGACAAACAGCACAAAAGAGATGATCATCTTAGTTCGCTAAATGCCAATTAGAAAGCATAACCCTGAGAGATGATCTCTAGCAGCTGGGGTTCACAGATTCACATAAAACTTAACTTCAAAATAACATTCCCATACATCTATACCAGAATCTTATTTACTCATTACCTCCCTGCAATACAGCCACCTTTTTTGCTTCTTAGGAATGAGTGCATTTTTGCTTAAGGAAGTTCATAAAAATAAGACTGATAATAAACCACGGTTGGGTTGGGGTTTTTTTGCAGTTCTCTTACTGTGTTCAAAGCCCATTTAAAATTTCTTCCTCAGAAGACCTTTTATGAACTCTACTTTGCACTTGGACCATGTGAAACCATGGTAAAAAACAACATACTGACAAGAATCTGTTTGAGAAATACATTGGTAAACACAGGCCCACTTCAGGAAATACTCATCCATGTAGGCGTTAACGAGTGCAGGAAAAGATGTTTGGATGAGTATTTAAATAATGGCAGAAAAGACTTAAAACACATCGATCAAAACCAGACAGATTATCATACTGCGTACATGAGGATCAGTTTTTCAGCACTGCCATGAGTTTATGCTTTTATCAAAGGCAAATCTCTACTTACTTGGTTAGCTTATGGCCTTTCATCGCTATGAGGAAATCTCTCACAGTCTCAGGACTCTGGTACCTACAGGGTGTTTTTGAAATGTACTTCAGTGTCTGCAACAGACAGAAAGAAAGTATACATTATGTCACAGTTACTATTTGCTTTACCAGTTGTGTATGAAACAAGCTGATTTTGAAGAGTCTCCTCAGTACTACTCAGAAAAACTGGAAAAATCAATTCAGGTTTTAGAGTTTGGTTTTTTACTTTTTGGTTGTTGGGGTTTTTTTTTTAGCAGTGGGAAGTGCTGTCACAGATGACAGATCACCCACATTTTTCAGTCTTCAGTAAGACTACACTGATATTTGCTAAGGGATTAAGAAACAGGCAGTCTGTAACTACAACTTTATGTGAAGGAATTTACATTAGTACTTATCCAGAAAGCCCCAGTGAATTCGTTCTGTGAGGACATGATCCAGCCAGCTCATTACACATCCAGGTGAGAGTTACAGCTTTGACTAGTCCCTCTGTGGCTCTGGATGGCTATTTATCTGATCTGTTCAAAGCCCAAAGTCCTATGTTCAAGAGTACAGAAAAGGAGTGAGTTTTAGCTCTATGTGCTAAAAAAGCACCTGATGTTTGTAAAAGACATTTGCTTTCTTGGTCTGAAATAATCTCAGGTGATGCTAACACTGTGATCAAGACATACAGCTATGCTGAATAGTAATACTCATTTACTTTTCCTTTAAAAACCAACATACCTTTACAGATTGAAAGATAGTTTAAAAAGGTAGGTACCAAGATATGGGTATGTATGTGTGTTTAGTTTTTGTTTGTTTTTTTGTTTTTTTAAAAGCAGTAACACTTCAGAAAAGTTGAATACTATTCATCCTTAAAACCATGTTACCTTCTGCCAAGTTTTCATGTGCTCAGTGCCAGAGATACTCTCACTGCCAACCCATAAATAACTCATTAAGCTCTCCGGTCTATGGCTGTTTTAATCCTTTGCATGCATATTTGGCAATGCTTTCTTAAAGTTCACAGAAGCAGCTTAGGTGGGTTGTCATGAAAATCTACAATACTGTAGTATTAGAAATGTTTTTCTGACTTGAGACAATTTACTTTTACTCCATTTTTTTACATGTAACACCTACTAACCTCAGCTAAATTTTGCAGCAAGTGTTATATCCACTTGCTTTTTTTAACATACCACAACACCTAGCAGACAGATAACACATAATGTAATTTGACTTGAGTTTACAAAAAAAATTGTTGATAAAAGCACAAACAAATTGCTGTCTTTTCACTGGAAATATCGTAAAATCTTCCTGAATGTTGCTTTTTGCTTTGACTAGACCTCAAAATGAAGAGTGGAAATAACAAGCATCAATGGAAAAGTCAAGGAAATCCTTGCATTGTCTGCATTGTGTGCATCAGCAACTGAAGGATTTAAGAGTATTGTCAGTGCTTGTTTTGAATTAAGGAAGAAAATCTTCATCTGTTGATACTGCATAGCTATACATAAAGCTTAAAAGTATCAATACAACTGACTCATGATGCACTAACTGGATTGCAAACACAGAGATGTGTGGTAGGATATAACACACACAGATTATCTGTAATAATAATAAAATACCACAGAATTATATATGATACTCTATATTAGTTTCTTTCTAAGAAAAAATCTTTAAAATCATTATTTGTATTTGGAAAGTCAGAAACCAAAAAAGCTGAATCAGTATTCACAGAGCAGAAAACAACAGGTACTGGGAAAAAGATTGCTACAAGATCATTATGGCAAATAAAAACATATGCAGACGTATTTCCAAGGTACTTCCATTAAAATCTGTTACCATTTTAAAATGAGAGGTAAAGGAAAACAGATTTCAACAACACAGGATAATTCATCCTACTTAACAGATAGAGTATTGATGAAATATGAATCACTGTTATTCTTAAGCACCAGTTTCACTGCACTACTGAAAAATATACTTTAAAAGCACAAAGAAGGTGTTAGATAACCATCCTTTTTGTTAAGCCCTGTCTGACATTTTCAGATAAAATGTTGTTATTCACCAATAATGACTAAAATCAAATCATCATATTGTCATGTAATAAAATTATTTAATAGGAGTAACTTCTTTTCCAGTTTAGTCTTTTTTTTGGCATTTTTAAATCAATTAAAACACCAGACATCCAGCAAAAAACATAGCTCCAGTTTAGCAAGCTTCACCTAGTTGTTTCAGTAGCAATGGATACAAGCCTGCGCAGAGCTCATGAAGACATACTCAGCATGATCAGAGACAATCCAATAAGATCAAATTCAGGTTTTCTTTCAAATATAGAAAAAATACACCTAGAGTTTACACCAGCTTCACTCCATGCACAAAACCGAGCATCCTATAGGTATTTAACATCCAGCAATATAACAAGACAATTAAAGCTTTAAGGTGCACTCTGACAAAATATACTTACAGGATCTTTCTCAGCTGTTTCAAAGAGGTACAGGAAGACTGTCAGTCTCCGTGAAGATTTGAATTAGATATTCTGTAAGCCCCTATTTTGTTGAATACGGGGCTTAGGAATTACAACTCTATACCTTTTCAAACAAAGCCAGAACTAAAACAAAAACAAAGCCTAGGCCAAATCTTATTCACATGAGTAGTTCCACTGCTCGACGGGATTACTCATGCAAGCAAGGCAAGCTGCTTTCAACTTGCTGCCAATTGTGGTGCTACTCATGCAGTTCTCCGACACAGACACAACAGGTCATGCTGCAAGTCTGTTCTGAAGTTGCTAATTTGAGGTATTTTAAATGTTAATATTTGTATTTTGCAATTTAAAAATTCTTCCTAGCAATAGATCAAACATTTATTACCAATCTGACATCCAGCTGATGTTGCTATCTGTACATGTGATTTTGTTCTTTTGACAAAAAACAACCCCACTCTATTTTATTTGGAAATTATCAGTTTAATTCTGTTAATAAAAAAATACCACGTGATCTGTGCCTCAGCTTTGAAATCATGATTACATGGTATCATCAATTCATCAGAAGTTAGCAAGTTCTGCCCTGGGTTTTAAAATGATAGAATATTTGAAATAAAAAAATTCCCACAAAAAACAGGGGGTTTTTTAAATTCTTTTTGTGACAGATTTTAATAAGAGCAGCTGCACACCTCTGCCCTGACAGCACAGTTAGCCTACAACCTGAATAAACTAACAACAGAAAAGTGGCAAATAAAATATTTTACTGTTGGTTTTTTTGAGAGGGGAAATTTGATACAAAATTATTAATACACAGACCTAAGGATGCAAAAACTCCAGCTTAGGGTAATTTGCAAAGGAATTTCACAGTGCTACTCACTTCATACATGATTGTGTTCAGATTCTGCTGACCGGAGCTCTGCTTGTTTTTTCCACTCTCTTTGCGCTGCTGCTTAAGATCAGTAAGTAACTGGAACACCTGGGCAAAAAAAATAAAGTGTTTGAGAGCACATGACAGTATTTTACCTAAAAATATTACACCAGGAAAACATAAACGAACAATGCAAAAACCTATTATCCAAGCAACTACAACTTCTTTGGTGAACGTACCAGCAATTGAAATGAAAAATGTTTTGGCACCAGAATGATGACTATGTATGTAAATTGTTTTAAAAAAATTGTGACTATTTTAAACAGATTTTCAGCAGTTGTTAAGTGTTATCCGAGAGCCCCAAAGGAGAAGCTGCCAGGATGAATCTATTCTAGTTGTTTATCTTATCTCATGTCCTAAACAGAGTTGGGTCATACCCTGCTGTACTGGCACATGGCTCCCATTTAAATACGAGTGATGCTTGAAGCAAGATGTCACAGAAGTTTATGGCCCTACTGGATTTGTTATGACAGATGTACCTATAATATTAAAATGGATATATATTCTGTCTCACAGAAATGCAATTTTACATTATCTGAAAAAAAAGTAAACTTTACAACTGCCACATTGCCATGAACCCACTAAATAAAGGTTTGACCTACAGATGCTCCTAAGATTAGGGATCCTATTGTAAATTCCATTGAAGTTATTCATAATAGTAAATGTTACAATGACCAGCATGGTGTTAGGGTATGCTAAAACACAAAGATTAAATTAGCTCCCTATTCATCACAAGAGTGTAATACAAGCAGACATTCCCGAAAAGAATGTAATAAAGTTGTCTCCACATTTATGATGCAGTGAATATTAATGCAGGAGAGAGATTCAGAGGGTAAGTCTGAAGGCAAGGAAGACGTTTTGATTTTTGCAACTGTGCTTTGTCAAATCTGTTGCAACATAACATCTTTATTCATCATAGTTAGATATGCAGCAAAATGTTAAGACAGCATCACAATTACTCTTTTATTCTCATATTAAATTACATTAGGTTGAAATGTCTTCAGCTGTTTTGTTTCAGGCTTTATAGTATATCCAGAGCCAATAACCACAGCAAAGTAACAGACTATTTCTTACTGTTTATTCCCTAGTTTTTAGCTAGCTTCATTCAGGATCCAGATCCAATGGCATTATAAACTGACAAGTCCATAGAAATAAAATACAAACATTTCTAGACAGTGAGAAATAACATTACCAGCTACAAATCCTGCAATTACTCTACACTGCATCTTCTATGAAAAAGGAACACCTTGTGTATTAACCACCAGTAGTAAATCCTCACCTGAAGCCAAAGCTGTAGCTATGAACTTTTAGCTAATAAATATTTGAAGAAAATATAGCCAGTGACAACGAGATACAAAATGACAACTCCAAACTCACAGAATAAATGTAGGCATAGGACATACAACATGTCAGTCCTGAACACTCCTTTCAAACACCACTTTTGGTGCAAAATATTACCTCCAGAAAGAGAATGTTAGCTATGCCAGTCAAATTGCAACTGGAAAGCGGAGCAAATAGAAAGAGATCAGTAGTTTTGGGGGAATCAGTACTTTGAAGGGCAGTGAAAAGCCATGCCCCAGAAGCCTATAGCTGCAGACACTGCAAATCCCTTCCTGCAAAGAATCTAAAGCTGCATGCGTGACAACCGTGCTGTGAAAGGAAAATGAGAAATAAGCACTCTCATCAGTAACTTCGACTTCCACTTCCTTTTGCTCTTTTTCAACACATTGTTGGTACATTCACCAACAAAAACACCCAACTGAAGAAAGTTCTGACTGAAGAGCACAAAGAATGGATCCTGCAGCTGTCCCTACTCCGGACCATACCTTTAGGACACCTATAGATTGTACATAATGTGACTGACACCACCACTTGAACCTAAATTCCAACGAATATCCCAGCAAACGAAGAAGGAAGCAGACATAATTTTGCAGTAACTAATCTCTGAAACACTTGCTATTTTCTGTACTGCAATAGTACAAGTTTTTAACAAACAGACACTTAATACTACTTTGGCTGACACAGTATCATCTATTTCTTAGGCATGACAGTTCTTTCCAAGTACCTCATTAAAGCTCTAAGAGTCACCAGATGGTTGCTCTGCTGTATGCAGACAGATGCAGCTCAAGATAAAACATTTCAAGATTTATTTCAGAATAGGATGAAACAGCTGTGCAACTTTCAAGCTTCGGCAATAAAACAATATGAAAAAAGCACAAAACATTATTAAAAGAGCTCAAAAAATTACATTCATAAACAAAGCACTGAAATCTTTCCATTACCTGGCTGAAGTTAAACCAACAAGAACACTACACATCTTTTTACCCCTCTAAAAAAAAAAAAATATCTCTTTACTCAGGAGAGAGGAAAATGATTCATAAATTATCTACACTAGACAATAAGATTATTTTTTGATATTTGTATGCCAATATTAATCATTTGTTACGACATGGCACTGTAGCTTCCCCATGACACCAGATCAAGGTACATCACTGTCTTCTAGAACTGTTTATCCTGAGTAACACACCTCAGATCAGCAAACTGTCTCATGTTTACTATAACCTAACCTGATTTGAAAACACCTCAAGATCTTTAAAAAAATACTGTTAAGCATTCATCGGTGTAAGACTGCATTTCCAGCAGCACTGGCTTTAATAAAACTATGCATTAATGAGTTATAGGTTCTCAGATGATACTGCACATCACAAGGTTAAATCCGAAACATTGATTCTAGCAGCAGCCATCTGTGAAAAAAACATTTGAATTTTTCGGCAAGAATTTTTATGTGCGGTATTAAAGAAACTCCAGGAATCAGTGTGTCACATAACCATGAGATAAAATTTTTTAAAAAAAGGTATTTTGGACATTGCTGCCCCATTAGAGTTGTCAACGTTCCTGATTTGGAATTCGATGCACCATACATCACACAAAGCTCCAGTAAATCCAGTGCACTTGCCCAAATACACAAGTGTTTAAAGATGTGGAGAATCAAATTCAAAATAACCAACCACCACACACAAGAGGATTCAAGAAACTAACCACATAGCCACAGCGTAAACGTGACAAGGCTGAAGTTAAAGTTACTGACATTCTGAAGATCTACTCCTCATCTATTTGAAAAACATATTTATATCAGTTTTTATAGATTCTGGACCAACCAAATAATAATACAGTACCCATTATTAGTGAAAACTAGGAGTTTATTTTCTTTAAAAAGCTTTTTTCTTAGTAACATCAAATGGAGTGGGTGGAAATCACATACAGGTCTTAATTGATTGCTGCTGGCAATTTTCAGCTTCCAAAGGAGTATACAAGGGACTGATTACAGCTTTAAACTGCTGGTTTAAAACCAGGAAGAGCACATAAACTTACCTCAAAGTTACTCAGCAACGCGGCATTTGCATCTTTTCTAAAATGAAAAATGAAAACAATTAATTTATGCTCCAAATGAAACTGTCTAAAATGTTTCTTTGCAAAGTCACACAGACTCTAAAAGAGCAGACACTACTTTCATAAAGTTTAAAAAAACGACGAAAAAAAAAAATAAAATAAAAAAATCACAAAACCTATTTTTGGTGATTCTACAACTACCAAGTTGTTGCCACTTCTGGAAAATATTTTTCCATATTGTTAGTAGAATCATTACATAAATACACAGAATATTTTGCACAACTTGCCCCATAAATCATAATACACTTATACAACATAATCTTTTTACTCAGCCACGCTATCTCATTCACTCACCCAATTTTACAGACTGAAACCAAATTGCCTTGCCTCTTCCTTACAAATATGGGCCTCCAGCTTCACTTGAATAAAGACTGGCATGAAAAAGTCAGATTATACACACTATTTATTTGTCAGTACTACAGGAAAAGAAAACACAATTGCTGGTTTTAGTATAATGTACGTACGTGTGTACAGATACAGCACTACATTTACACATACTGTACTGAATTAAAAAAACCTTACTGCATTTCCTCTTTATTTATTCTTTGAATCTTTATGTGGCTACTCCTTTATTAGCAGGGCAAGAGTGAGTTTCCCATTTTCCGCCAGCAAACACTTTCCCACTAATTCTGTACCAATTAATCAAGAATCGTTACCCACCGCTGGTAGACTAAATGCACTGAGTCAAGCACATATTTAGACTAATCACACCTCTATTACTACCGGATATTGTAATTTTATATTTTTAAGTTTTAAAAGGGAAGAAAAACTGATGCAGAATATCCTATATTCCCCTAACAACACATTCTGCTGAGCAGTCAGTAGCCACAACAACAGAAAGTTTCCATACAAAAGGAAAAAAAAGGCCTTTCTCAGGTCTGTGCAACAGCTTATGAAAAAAAAGAAAAAAGGTACAATGTATTGTTGAGCACCATCAACTGTTTGAATAGAACTGTCACGTTCATCACTTTCAAATGATTTAAACACGTCCACAAACTTCCACAGGTTCTATCATTGTTTTTAAATGAAAAGGACCTTCTAAAATACGCTGAGATGAACTTGAACTTCCATTTCGCTGACTCGAGTGAAACTTCAGCAAGTGAGCTCACACATGCATTAGTTTTCATTCATGTTTTACAAACCATATAGCTTTTGTTGTTAGGTAAATGCAATTCTTCAGAATGTTTGCATTCAAGCTATTGCTACAGAAATCCCTACGGATCAAAGACATTCTTTGTTAGAAATAATAATGCTATAGAAGAATTACATTGGGAATTACCCTGTTAAATAAGTGAAAGGGTCATATAGAATAAATACATTACTATGTAAATGAGTCTGAGAAATCTATCTGAAGTCACATTTTTTTTAGACAATCGCTTCTTTTTAAATTCAAAACACTGCGCCATTCAGAAAGATATTTTTTTCTTCTAACAATGGATAGCAAACAAGTCAGTCTCAAATCTTCAACGATTTTTGTTGTGCTGAAACACCAGAAGTATAAACTGATGAACAAAACCAGTTTCAAAAAACTGTTGCAGAATTATAAAGCAGAGTACAATTTTCTTCAGTCCTAACTCTCATGAATCAACGATCAATTTTACATTCAGAAAACAGGAAACCATAAATAATGAATTCTGATATATATTTTTAAACTGTCAACTAAACAGTATGTTTAATTTTTATGAGATTAAGACTTTAGCAGAAAAGGAAAAATAGTCACATTAACACCAATGTATAAACACTTTTTAGAGTCTTTAAATAGGTAATATTGACCCAAATTTTAGACCAGACCAAAATATTATTGAGGTCTTCTGCATATATCAAAAAATACCTCAGCGTATGGCATCACACCTCTAAAAATATCACTGACACTTCATGTTTTTAAATCTTTTGCTTAAAATATGTTGCATATTTAAACCACAACGTTTTCTGGAGGGTTTTTTTTTCTCTAGTAACAGATAGTCCTGACATAGTAAGAACTTATGAGAGATTTTCCTAGTTGCAGAGCTTCCCTCTATGGAGGCCATCAGGCAGGAGGTACAGGATTAGAACGATTAAATTCCAACAGCAATTCAAGTGCAAAATGGACTAAGTTGTTCCACTCCAATGCAAGGGACATCCATCTGTACCTCAAGACTTCATCCTCCAGGTCTTTACCTGTGATGCACCTTCCTATTGGTACTACAACAGATAGCAGCAGTAAAAGAAGTTGGGCTACTCAAGGTATTAAAAAAGAAGTGGATGTATAAACAGCATCACAGACTTACTAGCCATGGTATCAAAAGCACCTTTCTCAGCAGGGCAAATCCTATCCTTCCTCACATGCAACAGCAACTTTGAGCCTGGGTATGTGTTTCACGGCATTTTTCAGTATCTAACAGCAAGAACAGCTCATTTCCCTGCAGGCTGCTACTCACACGTTAAGGCTAACGTAACACAAACCCATACTGCAGCGGATGCTTCTTATTTGTTATCTGCTATTGAATTTTACAAATAGAACACTTCATGATAATATATATAACAGTATAGAAGATTTAACGATAATAAAGCATCCATGGATAACAGCCTGCAGTAGCTCAGCTGACTTGGTGGGTGCTGACAAACACCCCTCAGGACTGGCATCCTCTAAGTTCCCATTCATTAGAAATCAGCACCACATACCCATATATAACCACACAACGTAAGGGGCTCCACAGAACTCAGGAGAATGAGTTTCAAAGCTTCAAAATAGGTAAAATCCTACTGGTTTGTGCCCAGGTAATGCTTACAAGACAGAAACACGCACAGTGCTGTCAGCATAGGAAGGCAACAAAACTTGCTGCCTGCGACAGCAGCCTGGGGACTTCTGACTTGCCTCTTGAGTTTGCAATTGCTGGCGTACGCCCGTTAAATTTTCTCTTTCTCCAGAATATTCAGGTCCTACAATGAGTCATCTACCTGATGCTTACAGGAATAACTCTCCCAGAAGCCACAGCAGAGGATTTATGTTTCACCTCTCCCGGGGAAGAGAAGAGGGAAGGGAGCACAAGGAGACAGGAGAGCAGGTGAGATGGGGAGGGAAGATGGGGTTCAAGCTGAGCCACGATGCCTTTTGTCCAAACAAATGTATGCTTCAGCAAGATTTTTAAAGCAAAACACCCCCCCCCGCCA